ATTAATTTTTAACACCCCTCCAATCCCAGAGTACACTGAGAAAGGTGAGACAATATGCTTAAGGCACTATTATTTTTTTAGCAATTGTTAATATGCATCTGCCATGAATGGTTTGGATTTTTCATATCTATCTAAGGAAATAACTGATCAGTCCAGTTAGTAAGGCCTAACGAACAAGAGGCTTACCTATCATCCTTACGACTGTTTCATGGTTTATACTTTACTAGTACTAAGATCATGCTTAGAAATGAGTTATCAACATTGCCATTTTTGCATGGAATATTACAAATTGTCCTCAATATAACTCTTCTTGTTGTTCCAATTTAAAGTTAGAGAACAGGTGAATTTAGTTTCAGTGCTGGGAGCAAAGGCTTTCTGAATGCTGGGCCAGCTTCTACCACTGACCCATACTCCCAACCCTAGCATCTTAAGCCTCCTCATTTCTTCCATCTTGTTAATTGAACAGTAATGTACGTACTAAAATGATAATGTATAGCTAAGGAATTCAAGATGCAGTCCTTAAAATTTCTGCTACTGGAAAACAGACATATGTTCAAATTGTCTAAAACTAGGTAAATAAATCAGTACAGGTAAGAACCGTATAGAGCACATACTTTCCAGTGGTCTGGAAGAATTTTTGGTCAGAGACATATCTTTTAATTTTTTATTGTTTTCTGGTGGTCCTTCCTCCCAAATATAAAATAATAAAGTGAGAAAATTATGTTTTCAGAGGATGATTGGAGTTCCTCTTCTTTCTTAATTTGTGATTTGTGTCACTTCTAATGTGGAGCTTCCCGTCTGTTATTACGTAGGTTTGAGTTAATCAAATAGTGCACGCTAACTAGAGATAGTGATTCTCTAGTTTTAGTTCAAATGCCACTCCTCACCCTCCTATTTCTCACATTATTTCTTGTCCTCTTGGCACTGCTTCAATTTTAATGCACACAATGCCATGGACATAGGTTAAAGAATGAATAGACAATACAATACAAAGGAATAGTCATAAATCTTCTGAAGACCTACGTGTACACCTGCTGTCAATCACTGGATAATAATCCAATTGTTACTCTTCCTTTCTGATAATATAATTATCACTAGAGTGAATTTTTCTGAAAGTTAGATCTAAGGTCTTATATTTGGTTTCTGGAATCTTAGAGCAAAAAAAAAAAAAAGAAAATCTAAACTGAATGTTTTTGTAGAAACAGATATTAGTATCTCGTATCATTGGTATCATTTCAAGAATGAAATGATCAAGCATTTTGGAATGCTATAAATAAATAAGTTCTTATACCCAAGCAGTTAAAGAACTAAAGAAATACAGGCTGTGATTCCTCAGAAATATTTTAAAACATGTAAGATTTGAAGAAACAAGTAATTCTTAAATATGAATTAATTAAGAGCTTATATACTCAGCTACAGAAATCAGAATTGAAATCAGAATGCTGCAATTATTACATAAATAGCTAGATTCAGTTTGATTTGCAAAAAAAAATTTCACATGTGTGACACACAGCTTATAAACCAATGTAAATAATCTTATTTATTTAAATACCTTTAAAAATAATTGCACTTCCATAATAAACAAAAATCTGAATAAGTCAGAAGCAGTCGTGGCCCCTAATTTTTTACCTTCTTTTCAAAGTATTTTCTCTAGAGGGGACATAATGGACCCTGAAAGCTATAGCCACACATCAGGCTTTTGATTTATTTTTTAAATGGTGAATGAAAAAGCCACGTTCTTCAGGGGAGCAATTTGTGTCACATTTTAAAATTTAATTAGTGCCCAATTTTAACTCAAAACACCAAGCATAAAATGATAGGAAGTAACTATTCTGCAGTATGCCTGCTTGTCATTTCATTGTGTGTGTGTGTGTGTGTGTGTGTGTGTGTGTGTGTACAGTATACTGTTGTGGAAGAAACAATTTCAACATTGTATTATTCATCTTTCGTTCATAGCCAAATACATTGTTAAGCATTTAAAGCCACATGCAGTCATTTCCATCATTTGCTCTCTAGTTGGTAAAAAAAGAAGAAGAAAAAAAAAGCAGTGCAAAAACCTTTTGCAGAAATAGGAGGAGTCCCAAGGTGGAGCTGTCTCCTGTGTTATATGACACTGGCAGATTAAGGCACTTCTGATGGGGAAGGGCTTAAAGGCTGAGTCAAAAGCCAAGAAGTCTCTTTATTTACGCCTACCTCCCAGTCCTTGGCAATCTGACTAATAACAAACTGAGCTAACTAGAAAGACTCGACTGTGAGGACAGAGAACCTTAAAGCTGTCTGGATCTACGACCAAAGAAAGCGAGAGCGAACATCCCTGGGTCTCCGCAAAGCATCTTGTTTATTGACTGTGATCAGCAGCTTGTCAATGGTTAACTATATGCAAAACAAAGTCAGCATAGCTGTGAAGTATGCTGTGAATATTAATTGGGGGAGAAAAGGATTCCGGCTTCAGGATGCTCCAGTGTGTGCTCTGCCTGCAATACTTTCAATGAAAATAAGAGCTCAGCATTTTGTCTTCGACCAGATGTTTTAACTTTCTGAAGCTATGGGACTTGACAAAAAGTGATATTTGAGGAGAACGTGTACTGTGATCCTGTGGATGATGTTTTCTTTTTCAGTAAAGAAAACTGATTGACTTTGGACACCTTTTCCAGCTGGGCATTTCGTATAGCACCAGGAAGTGTCTGCTTTACAGGTAAAAGGAATGCTTGCAGATTTTTTTATATTGATGTTTGCATTATCTTGAAGATAGTGAATTTATGTGTCCTCTCTCTCTCTCTCTCTCTCTCTCTCTCTCTCTCTCTCTCTCTCTCTCTCTCTCTCTCTCTCT